AACTCACTTTTTCGGATACATATCGTCATGCTGGTTTTGTTGCAAAACTTTGACGAGTCATAACTTCTTCCTTATAAGCCGGATTTCAACGTTCCTTATATCCCCGAAATCCTTGTTACGACCACTTCAACTTTCTTCATTGATGTTGAGTCTATCTATTATTTTATTTTTGACGCATATTTTTATTATTATTTTATTACGTCGTTATAAGCACGTATATTGTACCTAAATCACATAATACTCAAATAATTCTTCTTCATTACTTGAAAATACGTTACAATCGTTGACCCTAACTACTACATCATATTATTAATGCTTAGCCTAAAAACACGAGCGTTATAATTCTCTCCTCCTTAGCATGATTCCATCCTGGAATCATGTATCAGCAAACGGATGTGGATAGCGACTCATCATGTCACTTTATGTTTCCCATGTGAGGTTCGGCCCATTTGTATGTTGCCATTGCGCAAGCACCAAGTCGACCATATTGCGTTGTAATTACTTCGTTTTACAGTCAACAAAAACTTCAGGCTCTTCAATTTATCTCTTATTTTCATCAATCCTTAACTCCGAAAGTGGAATTATATCAGGAACTTCTCCTATAAACTTCCTCAAATAACACACATGAAAACTGTTATGAATACCATTCAGTTCTTCCGGCACATCCAACTTGTAAGCTTGATTCCCAATCCTCTGAGGAACCTTGAATGGTCCAATAAACCTTGGACTCAACTTTCCTCTCTTTCCAAATCTTATAAGTCCCTTCCACGGTGAGACTTTAAGGAATGCTGAATCCCTAACTTCAAATGTCATTGGTCGTTGGTTTTTGTCAGCATAGCTCTTTTGGCGATCTTGAGCTGCTAACATTCTTTCTCTAATCACTTTCAACTTTTCAATAGTATGATGGACTATTTTAGGTCCCATAATTTGCTACTCTCCGGCCTCCACTACAAGAAAAATGTGATTTTGCTACGGAAGGAATCCGTTGAGAAAAGCTGAAATTCCGTTGCAAAAGATGATTTGCTATGGAATTTGCAACAGCCTATTTCCATCCCTAAAAATGTCGTAGCGAGGGTTTGCAAAGTGAACGATACTTCCTTCACAAATGTGACAACGGAATGAAATCTGTAGTAGATGGTATTCCAGCGTGCATTCCATAATAGGATTCCATCACACAATCTGTGGTAGTTATTCCATCACAAACAATGGTGGTATTTCACTAACAACTTCCGTGGTGGTGAATCCCTAGTAAATTCTGTGGTGGTCATTCCCTAGTAAATTCTATGGTGGTCATTCCCTAGCAAATTCCATGGTGGCAAATCTCTAGTAAATTCCGTGGTAGTCATTCCCTAGTAAATTCCGTGGTGGTTATTCCGTAGCATATTCCGTGGTGGTGATTCGTAGCAAATTCTGTCGTGTTGAATCCCTAGCAAATTCCATTTGGTGACTTACTACAAATTATGTGGTCATGAATCCCTTGCAATTTTCATGGTGTATATTATATACTAGATTCCATACGGACTGATAGATAATTGATTTATAAATTATATGCAAATCATTTTGTAGTAATATATGAAAAACAAAATTAACAAAAAAAAAAAATCAAAACCATTATATCATAAAATAATATAATAATTATTTATTACATGGAAAAAAGTAAGTTGCTAATCTAAAATAAATACTCTGCAATAAAAATATATCAACCTACTAGTGTTGTTGTTTTGTAAAGACATTAATAAGATCTAATGTGTTTGAAGATGTTTTTCAAGATGCCCGACCCTTCTGTTGTTTTCTTCTTGTTGGGCATTCATCATTCCTTTAAGCTCTTCATTTTGCTGTTTTTGTTTAGCAACAAGCTCCCTCATTTCTTCTATTTCATATTTTTTTTGGAATGTAAGATACATCCATTTTACCGTTCCTATTGAGAACCACCTTTGTAAAAGAGCCTAATCCATAAAGTCTTCTTTTTTTATCATGACCACCAACAACAACATAAAATAGCTTGTCCTCCTCAAATTCAACACATTCAGCTTCCAACTCTTTCCGTTTTTCTGTATAAACCAACTACAAAATAAAAATAATATAAGTTAAAAGATATCAAATTTATGAATGATATTATGGACTTGCTACAATATAAAAGTTTAACACTAAAATGAATATTAAATAAATTTGTCTATCTTTTTCATTTGTGAAAGTGACTCCATCGTGATTCTTCGTGTTTGTATACGACAACAATTCACTATGGGGTGGATCACGTCCTAATTTCCTCTTCTGCATAAATACCATATAAAATTTCAAATATAAAGATGAACATATATAAACATTGATACGATGTACCATTAAAAAAAATACCAAATCGGAAGCTATCTTCAAATGACTTGCGGATCCAACGTTATGTGTAGGTTTTGCTACTCCATCAGCCACACCGTTACGCCTATTTTTCTTGTTCAGCTCAGATTTTAGCTTGTATTCATCTACATTCCATTTTAATTGTCAGGAGTTCTAGACATCCTGTGAAATATGAGCTGGTTTAAATCCATGTTTGTTTCTTTTTGGGCTCCGCTTGTTGAAGAGATATTGACCATAACTTTGTGCCGCTTTCCTTGCCCAAGCTTGCCTCGCCAGCGAGTCTATTGTTTCAATCCAACAATATTTTTTCTACACATTAACAATATAAACATAAGTTTAAGTGCAAATGTTTACCAAACAACAATGTATCACATATAGTTAATTACCTAAAACTCCTTCCAATATAATTCGTGCATTTCTTTGCTTACTTTTCCCCAAGCGTACCCTTGTGGATCTATTCTTTGTAAAAAGGACAGACTAATAAAGTGTGCACAAGGAGGTGACATTAGCCTGCAAGTAATCATGTGATGTGTTAAGTTATGAATTGATATGTACGTGTAAACAAAAAGGATATACATAGAAATAGTTGTAATTAAGATTTGATTGGTAACTCACGTTTTTTTCCAATCATGAGCAGTTAAACATCCATCTGGTCCACAATCTTCAGAGGAATTGTTTTCACCTTCTACACTTTCCACTACAGATCCATTCATGGTTGGTTGTGTTGGTGATGTGGGCAGATTATTGGATAAGTGGTGTTAATGGGGTATTTTAGGGTAGGTGCTGGGATAGATGTATATGTTGAGGATGTGGTAGTTACTGTAGTTGTGGAGGATGATAGTGTAGATGCATATTTTTAGGTTGTGGTAGTAGATATAGGCGTTGATGATGTGGTAGTAGGCGTCGGTGTTGAGGATGGTTTAGATGATGTAGGTGCTGAAGTTTTGTTTATTGATGTAAGTGTTGAGGATTGTATTGTTCCAGTTTCTGAAGTTTTAGATGTATTTTCTAAGGACAGTGTGGATGTTGTAAGTGATGCTGAGTAAGTGGTAGTCATGGTTGATGTTAATGATATAGGTTTAGGGGTTGTGTTGGTGGATGTTATAGGTGCTTTGGATGTAGTTTTGGTATTGGGAAGTTGATTTCTTCACCTTGTAATTGTCTGTTTATGAATTTTGCAGCTGAAATCTTGTTGTGTTTCATAACCTGTGGTGCAATGAAGTTAGTTGGCTTCACATCGGATTCACCTTTTGCTTTCGATTTTGACATCTTTCTTGCTTAAAACTAAAAAAAAAAAAAACTGTAGTCAATACCAATGTATTAAAGATAATAAACTACTGATGAGAATAGAGAAACAAACAACAAAAATAAATTATATATGAAGGCATTACTATGCATGCAAACTATTGAATACAATCAAAACCAATTTACTTGTAATTTAAGATGATAATATACATGAAGATGATAAGAGAACAAGAAACGATCATCACGATAACAGTAAATTAAATAAAAATAAATTTTAGATGAGTGACAACCTATATCACCAAGGTGAGTGCACAAACATATAATGAACAAAGATTTGAATCAATTAGCCTCCGGAGATGATGATTACAGAAAATGTAAACACTATTTCTAATCAGTAAACTTACCCAAATACGCAATCTAAACGTGTGTAGGTTAGATGGAAAGGAATTGCGAAATATTTTGAAGCTTCGCTAAAGAAAAATTCGAATTGTGCTAATTACCGCTAAATATTTAGTAATTCAAATTTATTAAAGTAGTTCCATATTGATAGATATGGTATATACATGTAGCTAACATCAAGAAAGAACATAGACTAACGAGGTGTTCATAGTAAATTTGAATTTAAAATTATAAATGAGTATTAAACATTAATAAACTATACATCTTTATGCTTTTATGTTTAAACCAAATTTTATATATAAAAGATGTACGGGTCATGTCAATATATATGGTAGTTGCTTATGGCATCATGGTATCACCCATGGATGACATATGGGTCATTGGTCAACATGGTAGTTGCATATGGTGTCCATGGAAGACATACGGGTCATTGGTCAACATGGTAGTTATTTATGGTGTCCATGGATGACATATGTGTCATTGGTCAACATGATAGTTGCTTATGGTGTCCATGGATGACATACGGGTCATTGGTCAACATGGTAGTTGCTAATGGTGTCCATGGATGACATATGGGTCATTGGTCAACATGGTAGTTGCTTATGGTGTCCATGGATGACATACAGGTCATTGGTCAACATGGTAGTTGCTTGTGGTGTCCATGGATAACATATGGGTCATTGGTTAACATATATCATTTGTGTCGGTTGTGTATTAAAATAGAAATTGATTTTTATTTTAATTATGACTTTTGACAAAACTACTCTTAATAATTAAATATGAGTCATTGTGTGTATGAGGACAATTTGGTCATTTTATAATGGAACATCTTCTTGGTGCCATAATATTTTCTAACGAAACACATTTCAGTTCTTCACTCTTATTTCAGTCACTTGCAAACAACCCCAATTTCAAAATTCTGATAGTAAAGAAACCCTAAAATCATTTTCGCAGAATCGTTATCTTAGTGAAGGTTTATTATTATGGAAGCCAGTACTTCTTCAAAGATGAAATCAAGAAATCAAAGGAAATCGCTAACAGACATGCCATTGGAAGTGATGGAGAAAATAATAGTCGACTTGGGAAAAATTTCAGCACTCGAGGCTTTCAGGATGAAAAGTGTGTAAGTTTTGTCTTCGATCATTCTATTTCACAAGTGTATTTGAGTTGTCTTTACATTTTGGAGTGAATGTTGTGTTTCATTTGCAGTTGTAGATACTTTAAAGAGGCAGGAAAAACGAATGAAGTATATAAACATATGGAGGCAGATGGATTCCGATTTCGTGGTTGGTCTGACCAGAAACATACAATTTTCAACAAATGCATAGAGATGAGAAACCCAAATATTCTGTTCAGGAATGGATTGGTACATTGTTATATATATGCATAGTATTAATTAATTTGTTTCTTCTTTTGCATTACTTTAATTAGAAATTATGTGTTTAACGGTTTTTTCAGATGAAGTTATTTTTCCTAGAAGATGATCATGAAGGGAAAACGATGCTTGAAGAAGCATCTGCATGGGGACATTTGGATTCAACATTTTCCCTGGGAATGATGGTGATGGCTAAAAGGAGACATAGGAAGCAGGAAGCTTTGGACATGTTGAACAATGCTTACCACAGAGCAAAAGGTAAGTGGAATCTTAGTGCAACTTGTTCTAAGGTTCATCTCAACTTAAATAGGGAGGGGAGGAAACATGTACACTTCCATGGCTTCCATAAAACTTGTGCAATGCATAAGTCTGTAATTAGTGTGTCAGACGCTTTTGTGCATGGATATAAATGGGTTTTTAGGTGTGAAATTTTTTTGTGGGATGCTTGTTTCATTAGGTTTTCTAAGGAGTTTAATATAATTTGAGTAGTTTGTTGATATGTACTTTCATATTATGACAATTAATTCTATGTACATACTTTTTGTTTAATATACGAATATATAGTAATTTACTTGATAAGTAATTACTTGATGTTGTTACTTGATTAGCAAATATGTTTTGTTGTTAATAAGGGACTAAAAGAGTAAAAGTTTGGAATGATTCTTGAATGATGTTTGAATAATGTGTTTTGGACTTTCAATATTAGTGTTTATATTGTATTGTGATTATAGTTGTATGTAGCAAATGTTTTTTCTTTCCTAGTACTAAACACATATAAAATACAGTTGTAAAGGCATAAACATACATGTATTTTATTTTGGATTTGGTAATTTGGTTTAATATCGACTAGTGGAGAACCCATGCTTTGCATGGGGTAAAATTGTAAGGGCATAAACATAGGGACTAAATGTGGCAACAAAGAAAAAGTATTATGGCTAAAATCAAAGTAAAAAAAGTTACTATAAACATAGGGACTGAAAGTGGCAACAAAAGAAAACTATTGTGTCTAAAATCTAAAGTAAAACAGTTTACTGTTAAAATCTTGTTCAACTTTTAATATATATATATATATATATATATATATATATATATATATTAATGCATGAATATATACTAGTAATTTGGTGAAATGCTAATATAAATGTATTACATTATGGATTATGATATATATATATATATATATATATATATATATATATATATATATATATATATATTATTTTTGTCTTTTTCATTTCAACAATCAAAAGTCCATTGTTACCTAGCTATAAAAGGTTATAATATTTGAATAATGTGTTTTGACACAAATACCCTTAGTATTCATATATTTTGAATGATTTCAAGGGCAATTTGGGCTTTTTGCACTCTAAATCGTTAAGGCGCCATCATACATCTGACGACACGCCAACATTTCAGTTCTTCAACCATTCAGAACATCTCAGCTTGTTCGGACGATAAATCTGCATACAAACACTATAACCCCCAAATCGTCGAAGGTTAATCATTCTTAAAAACGATTTTGTCCAATAATAGAGAGTCCTGTACTCCTCACGACCAGATCATCATAAAGTAAGTTTTTTTTTCCATACCCTGTTACACTGTCTTTCATAGTTACACTTAATTTTTTTTTTAAATTGAAATCAACTACTCCAATGTGTATTTTGTAAGTAGAATGTCGAATACTAGAAGTCGTTGTTCGTTAGATGATCTCCCACTAGAAATTTTGAGTTGGATATTTGTAGTATTAGGGGTAGAATCTGCGAAAGACATTGTCTCTGCAAGACTTTGATAATTCTCAATAAAATTCAACTAATTAATGTATATTTGATGAAATACAACTTTATTTATTTGTTATTTACTGTGTATTCAAATTTTTTGACGTTCAAAGAAGATGTATGAAGCGGGGGTTATCCTTTAGTGTACCGAACAACATGCATTGACATGTTTGAAGGAATGAGTCCCAAAAATCTTAGAGCTGATTTATTTATACGCACATGTGCATTGCATAATAACATTGAAGCCATGTTCAGAAAAGGAATTGTATGTGTAGTTTCAGTAATTATACATAATCTATACCATTTATTAATATTTAGTGTCATTGATGTTATAGATCGATATTGTTATTCTGTCAATAGGATGAGTGCTTTTATTATGACAATTTTGATTTAAGTTTGATTTTGTTGAGACAAGCAGTGGATGAAGATCATCTTGAGGCAATTTATTTTCTTGGAATGATCTACATTTCAAGAGGGCCTCATCAATGTGATGAATGTACGTATATACGGTATATGTGTAAATTAAATTATATATATAGTTAATTAAGGCATGTTTGTAGTTTGGGGTTAGTATTTATTTATGTTGTGTTGCATAATATTTACTATTGTAATGAAAAGGATACATTGGATTAATTGATGGATATTTTAATGTGTAGGTTTATAATTACTTGATGTCTATTTTGGCTGGGCAGTTCCAGATAATGGGGAGTACACGGGTGTTGTTGATGGTGCCAAAGAGTTGTTGCAGGCTGTTGATGTTGTACATAGACTTACAACGAATAACATCACATTCCAATGTGAAGACCCACGTCATTCTGTTAAAGGTGAATTTGTAATAGGCCATGAAATGTTTTTGAATTGGTAATATGTTGCATAAATGGAATTCGTAACAAATATCGTTGAAAATTTGTTGCAAATTTTGTTCCATAGAACTATCGGTATCATAATACCAATGGATATGGATTTGGTAGCATTTTCCCAAGCAAGTCCCATTCTCGCTACCAGAAATAAAATCCGTAGACAATGTGGTAGCAACGTTGTTATGGAACAACATTTTATAGCACGTTCCATTGCAGATTAACAAAGAAAATACGTTCCATAGAGACCTTCCCTAGCAAAATCACATTTTTCTTTTAGTGCTCAAGCCAACAAGACTGCGTACGAAACTTATATCCATAAAAGTCTTGATAAGGTGCCATCTTGATGCTCGAATGGTAACTATTGTTGTAGCAAAACTCGACCAGAAGTAAATGCTCATCCCAGTTACCTTGAAATTCTAGGGCACATGTTCTTAACTCTTCTATTGTTTGAATCATTCTTTCGCTCTGACCATCAGCTTTCGGATGGTAGGTTGTACTTAAACACAACTTTGTATTCATTTCCTCTTGTAGACTCTTCCAAAATCTTGATGTGAAATGACTGTCACAATCCAATAGGATCGTTAAGGGTACACCATGAAGTCTTATTATCTCCTTCACATAAGCATTTTCAAGCTTATCCATAGACCACCTCTCATTGGCTTCTATGAAGTGCACACTCTTTTTGAACCGATCCACGACTACCCAAATCATGTCATGACTGTTTTCCGTCCTATGCAGTTTAGTCACAAAATCCATAGTGATGTCTTCCCATTTACCCATGGGTACATGTAACGGTTCTAAACTCCCATGTGGTTTCTGATGTCGTGCTTTAACTCTCGCACATGTTACATAATCTGCTACATACTTTACAACATTGAGCTTCATCGTCGGCCACAGTAGTAACGTTTCAGATCCCTATATATCTTAGTGCTACCGATATCAATCGAGTATATGGTCTTGTGAGCTTCTTCCATTAGAAGATATCTTATTCCTCCCATATTAGGTAGCCAAATCCTATCTTTGAATATCTTCAAACCTTGACTATTTTTACTAAATACCAACGTTTGCCTAAATGTTCTTCCTTTCGGTCATTTTTCTCTAAAGCTTCTTCCTGAACCTTCTTGATGCTTCCATAATAGTCGAGACAACTTCTATTCTTAAAGCTCTTGGCATTTTTCTTTCCAAGTTTACTTTTTGAATTAGAGCATCAGCTACGACATTTGGTTTACCAGGGTGGTACAGTATCTCACAGTCGTAATCTTTGAGCAACTCTAGCCAGCGTCATTGTCTCATATTTAAATTCTTTTGATAAAAGAGATACTGGAGACTTTTATGATTAGTGAAGAGTTTACACTTTATGCGATAAAGATCATGAATGGGGTACTTCTTCTTGTGTCCTTTTAGTTATTGGGATGCATATATTATTACTTTATTTCTCTGGGTCAGAACACAACCTAACCAAATTCCAAACGCGTCGCTATAGACTATAAAGTCTTCAACTCCATCAAGTAAAGAAAGAATATGTTCTTCACACAACTTCTTCTTTAATTTCTCGAATGCTTCTTCATTTTTCTCACTCCATGTGTATGTAGCTCCTTTATGGGTCAAAGTTGTCAATGGAGCAGCTATCGAAGAAAAGCCTTGGATAAACCTTCGGTAATATCTAGCTAATCCCAGAAAGCTATGAATCTCAGTGGGACCTTTTGGTCGTTCCCATTTCATTACAGCTTCAGTCTTTGCTAGATCAACCATTATCCCTTCTTGGTTAAGCACATGACCCAAAAATTCTACTTCTCGAATCCATAATTCTCATTTGGAGAAATTTTCATACAGGTTCTCCTTCTTCATAACTTTTAATACTTCCTGTAGGTGCTTTCCTTGCTCTTGCTAGCTCTTTGAGTAAATCAAAATGTCATCTATGAACACTATCACAGATTTATCAAGGAATGGTTTACAAACCCTGTTCATCCAATCCATAAGTGTTGTTGGATCATTGTTTAGTCCAAATGGCATAACGAAGAACTCATAGTGACCATATCTTGTTCTAAATGCGGTCTTTTCTCTCACCTTCAGCTGATGATATCTACACCTAACATCGATCTTTGAGAAATTTCTCGAACCTTGCAGCTGATCGAACAAGTCATCAATCCTTGGCAATGGATACTTGTTCTTCACTGTTTCCTTGTTCAACTCTCTATAGTCTATGTACATCTTCATGCTTCCATCCTTCTTCTTCACAAATAACACTGGAACTCCCCATGGTGATCAACTAGGTCTAATGAAACCGTTATCCAACAACTTCTAAAGTTGCATCATAAGCTCCTTCTGTTGGATTAGTGTCTAAGTCCATAACTATTTTGGTATGTACTTGACCCGATGGTGCATGGTCCTTTTGGGTTGCCTTCACCAAAGCAACTTGATTGGAGAAATGAATAAAGAGAGAGAGGATAATATGATTTATTAATATGTTATAAGAATAATATATTAAAGGAGAAATCATATTTGTTTAATTAATATTGGTCAATAATTAATTAAGAATTAGTTTTGTGATAAAATGTAATTAATTAAACTAGAGGGGCTGATTTGTAATTATGTGATAGTTACAAAATAAGGTAAGAATTATCTTATATATATGGTGAACGAATTTGAGGTGTAAATCCGTTAGAATTCGAGTATGATAAGGATTCAAGGATTATCTTATTGGTTGCTTAATGGATAATCAACTAGATAAGGATAATGACTGAAACCCTATCTCTACACCTATATAAACACCCCTAGGGCCATGAATTCGTGTATCCCTTCCCAAGAGGTCCTAGATACGAATTCTAACCTCTCACCTCTCTCCTTATACCTTCTCCACTTGCTTATGGTGTTTGTGAGCCATTAGAGGAGTGACACTTGTGACTCTAAGCCTTCCAAAGTCAATACAAGGAGATTTGGGATTGTTATTGCTACATAACAATCAAGGTAACATTATAAACTCATTCTTATGTTAATATGATTATTTGAATACTAGAATTAGGGTTTATAGTCTTGGGTTCAAAGCATGTACAATAGAGAAACCTAGATCCAAGCATTAGGGTTTGTATGAGCACATAGGATGTCTTATGACTAAAACCCATCAGTGGTATCAGAGACTAGCTTGGTTTCAATTGTATTGATGCATTGTATAACTGAAAAATTCGATTTTTTGGATTGTGGAGGCTGGACTCGCCGAGTCCATGGCTGAACTCGCCGAGTCCATGCAGACTCGACGAGTCAACTCGTCAGATAATGCTTATCTCGGGATTTCTTGCTGTTTTTGCATATGGATAGTTACCTTATCATGTTAGATCCCATATAAATCCGATTTTATGATATATATATGACTATATTCTTGATCTAATTAAAGATAATTATCAATTAACAAGATAATTGTTTCCTTATAAGATAATTGATTAATTATTTTGAGTAAATTGATAAATTGTTTTGCAAGAAATCATTAAATAAATCAAATATGGATAATTATGTGATTAAATGTTAATTTAAAATTATTTGTTATTTGATCCTTGTTGTTATGAAAGGTTACATATTTTCCCCTTTAGGTTTTATAGTTTAAATTTGAACCCAAAAGTTTTGGAGTTTTGAAATTTAAATAGTTAAAACCTAATGTTTTGAAAAAGGTTTCAAAACTTGCCCTCAAGTTTTGGAATTTAAAAGTTGATTAAAAGTTTAATTAGAAATGTTAAATTCTAAAACTCTAGTAATGTTTTGAAAAGTTCAAATCACACCCTTATGGTTTTATTAATTAATTAAGGAGTATAATTAAAAGAGGTTTAATAAATCCATAAAAGTTTAGGTTAACCTTTTAATTGAATTAAAAGTGTAATTGTTAAAGTTAACCATATAGTATTTTAAAAATAAAGTACACCCTATACTATATATAACATTAAAAGTCTAACATTATATATATGTATAAGTAAAAGTCAGTCTTACCGTTAGTAGGCCTCATTCACGAAGCTGGTCTATAAGGGGTGTTTAAGGAAATTGCCTATAAAATGGCGATTGAATGGGTATCCACTCTTACCCACCGCACTCTTGACTAGTGGAGGGTCGTTAGCCGAACGGGTAGGATAGGACGAAACCTTCCATTATAAGTATAATGAAATACAAAGTAACTAAATGTTTTTCAAATTCCCAATCTTAGTTACTTAGGCAAAAGTGAATTGATGCAATTCCATGAAATTACACTTTGTGCCCTTGCGAAGACGTTAGTGGAGCGTGTGTGGTTTACCGGCACACTAAATGGTTCTAAGCAAAGGTAGCAAAGGGTGACTCAATGTTTGTCATAGTTCGGTGGAGCGTGTGTGGTTTACCGGCACATCGAATAGGTGATTGTAACATGTGAGGGCACCATGTAGTTTGCATGGTTATTCACACCCGCTTTGTGATCCTCGGCATCCCAGTCACAAACAAGAGGGGCATATCGAGATTTAAACATGCCATTGAAATGTTCAATGAATCTCAAAGGATCTAGGAGTTTTCATAGATTTAAAACTTAAATTTCTTTTTCGTTTTTCATGGTGGAAATTAGTGAATCGTCATTCACTTACCTTCAAATGTTCTGCAATTTGGGTTACGGCATCCCTCTCCCGAGTTGTAGGATATTGTGTTGGGTCCTAGCCTTGGAATTTCACTTGGGTGATTTACCAAGGACTCAATCAATCAACTAACTTGAATTCATTTTTTTTTTTCTCCCGATGTCAAAGTTCGACAACTACGATCTTCTCAAATCCCGTGGAACAAGCATTCCACATGAAGATGATATTCCACGATTCGATCGAGGAACAAGAAATCATGCTTCACTTCCTCCTCCTCCTCCAATTATTCTCCCTAACCCACAAGATTGTAAAATTGAAAAGTTCAATATCACTCAAGCCCTTTTGGCAAGTAAACATAAAGAGGGCAAGTCGGTGTGTGCACACGTCTTAGGGATGAAGTCACACTGTTGGGATCCGTTGTCTGT